TACCCAGCCTGTATTTGTGTCTGGGGTTGCCACACTGTGCCTGGGGTTGAAACACTGTGTCCTTACAACTATTTATCATTAAACAAGTGACTGACGAAACAAGTGGCACAAATACCTTGTTCATGTATTTAAACTGTGGGGATAGGTGCTGAGGTTGGGAGGAAGTGACAATAACTGCTTAAATTACAGGGCTGATAGTGCCAGGGGAAAGTTTCAAACACTCTCCGTGATTTCCTGATTAGACAGAGATCCTGCTCAAGGGAAATAAAGAGGGTTTCCAACCTTTAATTGGTACAAATGGGTAGCTTTGGTATAAAGAAATTCTATGCTCAAATACTTGAGGTATTAAAACAATAGAAAAAAATATCTTAAAATATTATAGCATTTTATTTGTCTATAAAACAGTATAATCTTACTGAATGCCTCGTATGATTTTATATGCATTCTTGTAAATCTGGAAAGCAGTGTGTAGTTCAACGATGATGCATTTTTGATAGACTTTTAGTACAATACTGTACATAATTTTGTTAATCTTCCCTTGAGCAAACCTTGTGAAATTCATAATTTTCCCCTCCTGTTTCAGAGTCTTAACATTCTGCAAGCCCTATACAAGAAGTACTGGATGAACGCTGCTTTTATTAATGTTTTTTCTCTGCTCAAAGGAAGGAAAAAATAAAAATCCTATGTGAAGACAGTTTAAATTTATCAACCACTCACTCCACCTCAAAGCTCATCCAGCCAGCATTCACAAGTGACAGAGAACCTGCCTCACTGCTGCCTCATAGCACTCCAAGAAACACCTGAGACCTGAAGTATTCACAGCTCAGTGGGGAGCATTCAGTTCTCCAACTCAAAGTGAACCAATGTCCACAGACAGAGATGTGAATACTCTCACATGAGAAGCACTTTTTTGAAGAAGAGATGTTAAAGCAAGATCTAAACTCTTTCCTTGCTTCTACTGAATTTTCTTTAAGGACAGAAATGTTAAGCTTGGTACTTTTACCCACATCAGCCAGAAGTAATTATATCTATTCCAAATAAATGTCCTCTACATTTTAACTGAATAAAGAACTAAAGCAGTCATTATACTGTTCTTGCACTGTGAGGGCTGAGGTGCTTTTCATTTCAGAGAAAGTTGCTGTGATCTCTACAGATAATCTATAAAGTACTCTAGAATACTTTGATGTAAAGAAGTTTTATAAATATAGCATTTTTGATTTATGCCACTGTCTGGTATTTTTAACTTAGTTTACTTACAAATAATTTCTCACCTGTTCCAATATCCAGCATTGTTTTCATAATTCTGAGGCACGATGTTAGACAGATAAAACGTTTCAGCCATAGCTCTCTGTGTAGAGAAAGAAAATAATGTCATTTCATGGAAACACTGACAAACTGAAAACAAATTTTAGAAGTTTTTGGATCAGAATGCACTTCTAGTTTAGTCTTAACATTAAGGTCAGACAAAACTTAGTACGAACACACACAAAATTATTTTGGATTAAGAGTTGCATAACTGGGGTGCAAACCTTGCAAAATGTATCTACCTTTTTTTTTTTGTTGTTTGACAGAATCATAGCACAAGAATGTCCAATTCTAGAGGCACATGAATTACTATGTTACCCAGTTTCAGTACTGTCATGCCTTTGGAAGCAACTAGCTACTCTTCTTTTTGACTAGGAAGGATGCTTTCACTCATGCTTTTCATTTATGTGACTGCGTAATGGCTAGCTTTTTCTTTCCCTTACAAAAAAGGGCTTTATTAAAAATATTAGTCGTTATTTTACAAATACATAATAAGGAGGTGATTAAATGATTCGAGGCCATGATGGTCAAACACCTACATATCTGCTTACTTTTATCTTTTAGAAGTGTCATAAACCTCTCTGAACTAAAGCCCACATACCTCCAGGTGCAAAAGACCTGGTGCTAAAAAACTATGCATATGTAGGGCAATATAGGAGAAAAAATTTTCAAGATCTTAACCCAGAATCTTCATAGGTCCTGTACTTGCCAGCATTTTTCACATACTACTACTTCAAAGTGAAGGGACCACCAGAACTCCTTAGGATAATGAGCAAACCCTACCTGCACTAATTAAACTGTGCAATTTAATTATTATAGTCCTGTATTTGAAAGACTGCATCATCTCACTGCAGTTCAAGCCAGGTCCAGGATCTCTTCTGCGCAGGTAGCTCACCAGCAAAAAAATCCTCACATGTCACAAATAAATAACCAAAAAGATACTCCCAGTAGAAATGAAACAACTGGTTCTTTCATCCACCACATGCGACTGTGCTGTCGCTCTGCCCCACTGCATCCTATTCTGCCTGGCAGAACTACAAATTCAAACTGGTTCTTAATTTACAAATTGCTGCATTAGGCACATTTCACAAGAGGATCCAATAAATCCAAGGCTGCTTTGTTAGTCAGCCAAGGCATTAGGGCATGCTTTTCTTTCAGCCCAAATAAATGGCAGGTGAAGACATTTTATAGACTGAAAGAACTATGGCAAAAGAAGGTTCTAATTTACCTCACACACATTGCCAGAAAGAAAAAAGCCTTTTAAATCATTCAGGCAATCCCTTTGCCAATACAGAACAGTACTTAACAGCATCTTTGCTTTGCCCCATCTAGCCTTAAAGATTTCAGCATGTGTTGGCCAGAATGAAGTCACTGTTCCCTGTCACCCTCTAACTGAGCTTCAGAAGACACCTTCGAGGTTTGTTTGGTGAAGGTTATCATCTTCATTTTACAGGCAGACAGTGTGACTCACAAGAAGTTGAGAAGAGTTGCTTAACATTATACAGCACAAGATACACTCACACCATTAATACAGGTGTGATTTAATGAAGAGAGGTATGACACCAGAGGATGCACCTGATTTAGATGCCTGAAGCAGACTGTGAGAGCATCCTACAGTGCTCAGTCAGGAATAGACCTTGTAACTCCGAGTCCAGGTCTGTGCATCAATAATGAGACCATGGTCCATCTCAAAACAAACTGCAAAAGGAACATCATTACACATTACTTTTAAGGGTCTTTTTACCCTTTCTGACTGATAAACACAAATTAAAAAGAAAGGAAAAAAATCCTACTGTTGAAAATTTGTTATCTCCCGCTGGTGCCATGTGTCCTCGTGACCACCCGCTCCCAAGGTAGTCTTCATTGGCAGCACTAAACATTAGAGGGATGTTAGGATCTGGTCTGAATTTACAGTGCCTCCGGTCTGCATTGCCTGAGGAATAACACACTAAATTGTTAGGTTATCATTAAATCATCAGAACAACAAGGCAAAAAGAACTGGTTCTGCCACATCTTGCCAAATGACCCATGCTTAAGGATTCAACAGATTAATCTAAACTGGGTTTTTTTTTCTCCTGAACCATAAAAAAGAATAATTCAGCTTAAATATCTGTGCTCCAGTTCTAAATTCTTCCCCACTATACGCTAGAAATTCTAACATGCTTACTGTTTTACAGGGAAAAAAAAAACAAAAACAAAATACTTTTCCCTTATAATTTCCCTTATCATAAATGCAGATTAATATTAAAGGCAAGATTATTAAAATTATAAATGAGTATAGAATCACTTTTTAGGACAATGAAGATATACAGATATTCACCACCTGCAATTCCATTTTCAGGTTTCATCCACTACAAGTATTTCTTCTTTTTCCAAGCCTAGTCTGTAAGTAGAATGGGTGTTATCTTGATAAAGTTACACTTGTTAAAATAATAAACCCACTCTAGAGAAAGTCTTAAGTAATTTGTTCTTCATGGGCACAGAAATAAGTGGAGAGCTTTCCTATTCCTTTCCAGGATTCCACTTCTACCTGTCCAGACATTTGGAAATTGTGCACAAAAATATCGAGGCCCAAGACTTCTGGAAGACAGAACCTCTTCCAGGGGAGGGTTGTAGGGGGAGCTAACTTAGCTGTTGCAGATCTGGCAGCCCATTCTAAGCCTGTGACTTCTTCCCAAGTGTACTGGCCATACACCTGTATTTATGTCCTTGCACTGTGTGAAGTCCCAGTCACCTCCTCAGAAAAGAAACTACTCTGAGCAGGCTGCAACTTTGAGAACACTTCATCCCAAACACTGACTGCTTCCTTGGAAAAATGATGTCCAGAAGAGATTTGCATGAATTATTGTGTCACTAACAACTTCCAATAAGGCACCATCTTTCTTAGGGAACAGTCTGGGACCCACAAACATCCACAATTGAGGAAGGTGCTTCAAAGAAACAATGGAAGCACGTGCAAGCACTGACTCAGCCGTGCCTGTGCAATAGCTCCACACAGGCAGCAGCACAGTGTCTAGCTGGATAATAACTGGCTTAGAGTTAGACACCATCTAGAGACTACACACCATTGGTTGTCCACTTTTTTTCCCCCCCAAATGCCAATATAATTGTAAGTAGCTACAGCATACTGTTTTTTTTCTTTATAAAATTCATGGTGTCACCTCAGGCATAATCTCACAGATGCAATATACGGGACCATCACAAACTCTCTTTTCATTTAAGCCTGAATCAAGGTCTGTACACACCAGAGAGAACTTTCCTCAAACTTGGGACTTTATTATAAAGTACTTTAGAAAGTTGAAATACGATGTGAGGGGCAATTTTCAATAGTGATCACTGCTAGCTGTTAAAGTTATTATTTTTGCTCCAGCTGACTGTGGGCACACACAAAGTGCACGCACTCTGGCTTTTCTGCCACGTCAATATTACCACCGAGTGCGTACGCAGCCTGCGCTTCCTCGTGTTCTGTACTGAGAACCAAGTGCAGTACACGCTCTGCACTTGGCAGCTCTCTGAAGAAGCCAAGAACATGCAAGGACCACAAGGAAGAAGGGAAGGGCTGGAAAACGAGCATGCATATGGATAATGCATCTCTCAGAAACCAGCCCCTGTAAGCAATTTCCTCCTCTTTGCTGATCATCTGTGTGTATGTCCACTGAGGTGATGTCCAAACAGAGAGGTGGTCAGAGCATCTTTATGCAGTGCAGGGAAGGAAGGAGCTTCGCTTTTCTTTCTTGGTAAAGCACGTGAGATGATACTTTAACACAGGATTGATGCTTAGAAAGCAACACTAACAAGTTTATCAGCGTGCAAAACAACAGAATTCTTTTTTTTAGAAATCATATTTATTCCCAGTATTTGAGACAAACTTTAATTTATCAATTAAACTTGAAAAATGGAAAATATATCCTAATTTATCCTCTGTTCACTGATTTGATAAAAACAGATAATTTCTTCTCTAATTAGATTTGTACATCTCATTTACATGTAAAGCTAATTTCTTTCCACCATGTATTTTAAAATATTTAAGTTCCTACCTATCAATATTTTTTTTTACATCACATGCTTTCAAAACTCCAGTACATTAAAGGCTTTTGTGATCTTCCCTGAAAACACAGTTCTGCCTCAAATCTCAATTACAGTTGCTATCAGATGTAAATCAGAGCTGAATGCCTCAAGATGTTTAATTTGAGCTTGCAGGTTAGCTGTACCTGATCATTTGGAAAACATTTTAACAATTTGACTGTTAAAGGCCCACTTGAAAGTAAGCCTGGAATTACTGCTTTCTTCTCAGAAAGAAGTGGAATCAACAATGCTACTTAGGGGTTGGTTATAAATATTTTCAGGATCATGCTTTTAATTTTGAAAGGTAATTTGAAGACAGTGATTAAGATATATTTAGAGGGCCACTGCATTCATAAAACACTTTACAATTATACAGTTACCTCCATTACTAATAATTTGCCTTATAAAAACTGAACTAATGCTATAAACTTAATTTACAATGGCTGTGTATCACTTATATTTCATTCACCACTGACAGACT